TGTTTCACCTCGTTCTCATACTCACTGTCTATTGTCACCAGAAACTGTGTCAACTGCCAAAGCCAGTCTCGAAACAGTCTGATGTCATCATCTGCTGTAGCGTTTTCCCCAAAAACTGGGGGTTTGTTGACCAACTTTGACCAGTCAATGGCCGCCTTTGGTTGTCCAGCTGATGCACTAGGGCTCGAAGCAGCCTGAGAAGCCGATTGAGCTGCTGCCTGGGCTGCCTTGCTTGCAGCCTGTGTGGCCTCTGCCACCTGTAACAACGCTGTCTGCAAGATGCTTGGGTCCAACTGAGCCATCACTCAGCCCAGAAAACTCTGTAGCCCACAAACACTCACTGCGAACGTCTGCAAACCTGAAAAACCAGCTGAAGACACTGTGCGCCTACCACCTGCACCAGAAACCTGTGTATATACCACAACGCAAATCAGTGTAGGAAACCTGACAGCAGTGTTATGTCCAGGGTCTGAAGGTGAAGTCCAAGCACGTGCAACACCAGTTTGGAGTCTTGGTCAAAAAGTCCAGAAATCTATGGCTAAGGACAAGGGGCAGAAACTTTCAAAGGCCTTGGAGCTACAGTGGCTCCGCTACCATGCGAAGCAGCGGCCACTCTTGTTTTCCTGATGAGCCTATAAGGCCTCAAAGTAATGTGAAATGATTCCATGTCTTATGGATTCACATGCAAAATGATTGGTGACACTTCTCGATTTGTGCGTCTGTCATCCTTTGCGTCTCTGACCGTTTCTCTCAACTGACATCCATTGAAAGTACAAATGAGCACATGCATTCTGGAGGTACACACTGCTAGAAATCTTTTGCAGTATGCAATATTCTCATGTCATGTAACTACATGTGTCTCTAGAACAGTCCGCAAAAGTAACTCCAGTTGCATGTCGGCCCTCGCTGATCACATGTGGATGTTTCATTTGATCGGGTGCAAAATGAAAAGAAAATAATATATATATATATATATGAGGCCGCGTTCGAAACCATTTTTTAAAGGGGAGGGGGGGGCAAGCGATTATTATTACTTTTGCCGCGTTGGAGATACCATTAAAGAAGGAGAAGCGGGCTGGAGGCGAAGGGGGGGGGGGATTATTTTTACTTTTTTTTTTCTTGGGGGGGGGGGCGGGGGGGGGGCATCATGCGCTTCATTAGCTGCTTTTTTTTTTCTTTGGGGGGGGGGGGCGGGAGATAACATTACTTCAGACACTGGAAAGACACCAACGCTGGAGGGAGGGAAAGGGGGGGAGGGCAATCGATTATTATTACTTGTTTTTTTCTCTTCCCGGTGGGGGGGGGGCAATCGATTTTATGACTTTTTTTTTCTTTGGGGGGAGGGGGGCGGGAGATAATCATTACTTCATGGAACAGCTGGAAAGGAGCCACACCAACGCTGGAGGGAGGGAAAGGGGGGGAGGGCAATCGATTATTATTACTTGTTTTTTTCTTTGGGGGGGGGCGGGAGATAATCATTACTTCTTGCAACAGCTGGAAAGACGCCACACCAACGCTGGGAGGGAGGGAAAGGGGGGGAGGGCAATCGATTATTATTACTTTTTTTTTCTCGGGGGGGGGGCAATCGATTATTATTACTTTTTTTTGTTTGGGGGGGGGGTGCCGGAGATAATCATTACTTCATGCAACAGCTGGAAGGAGCCACACCAACGCTGGGAGGCAGGGAAAGGGGGGAGGGCAATCGATTATTATTACTTTTTTTCTTTGGGGGGGGGACAATCGATGATTATTATTTTTTTGGGTTTCTTCAGGGTGGGGTGGGCGGGAGATAACCATTACGACTACTACGAATACTACTACTACGACTACTACGACTACTACTATACTGCTACTACTACTACTACTACTACTACTACTACTACTACTACGACTAGTACTACCACTACCACCACTACTACTACTACGACTACTACTACGACTACGACTACTACTACTACTACTACTACTACTACTACTACTACCTATACTACTACTACTACTACCTATACTACTACTACTACTACTACTACTACTACTATTACTACTACTACTACTACTACGACTAAGACTAGTACTACGACTACTATTACTACTTCTGCTACGACTACTACTGCTATGACCAGAACTTGGACCTTTTTTTCAACAACACCGTTTGCTCAAGACTCTGCCCAAAGTGCGAAGCTGTCAGCCGCAACCGGGGTTTGTGGCGTGTACTAGCCACCCATCACTGGAAGTTGTTTCCATCGGGTGGCAGCAGCAGTGGTTGCAGTACTATTTGGCGCATCAGATGCCCCCCCTGGCGAAAGTGCCACTGATCAACAAAAGTTGGTTTCATCAATTAGTAACAGCTGTGCTTGCAGTACTACCCGATGCATCCGATGCTCCGCTTGGCAAAAGTGCCACGTCTCACTGGAAGTTGTTTCCACCGAGTGGCACGGCAGTGCTTGCAGTACGAGTCGGCGCATCAGATGCTTCTGGGAGGAAAAGGGACACTGATCGACAAAAGATGTTTTCCTGGATTAGTAGCAGCAGTGGTTGCAGTACTAGCCGGCGCATCTGATGCTCCCCTGGCCAAAGTGCCACTCATCACTGGAAGTTGTTTCCATTGAGTGGCACCACAAGTCGTTGCAGTACTAGTTGGCGCATCTGATGCTCCCTTCGCAAAAAGGTCACTGATCAGTGGAAGGTGTTTTCCTCGCTTAGTAGCAGCACTGGTTGCAGTACTAGCTGACGCATCTGATGCTCCCCTTTGCAAAAGCGCCACTCATCACTGGAAGTTGTTTCCAGTGAGTGGCAGCACAAGTGGTTTTCTGTACTAGCCGGCGCATGTGATGCTCCCCTGGCAAAAGTGCCACTCATCACTCGAAGTTGTTTTCAGTGAGTGGCAGCACAAGTAGTTGCAGTACTAGTCGGCGCATCTGATGCTCCCCTCGCAAAAATGCCACTGATCAATGGAAGATGTTTTCCTCGCTTCGTAGCCGCAATGGTTGCAGTACTAGCCGGCGCATCTGATGCTCCCCTTTGCAAAAGTTCCACTCATCACTGGAAGTTGTTTCCAGTGAGAGGCCGCAAAAAGTGGTTGCAGTACTATAGCCGCATCTAAATTTGACACTACAGCTCGGAGCAACCAGCTAGACCGTAGAACATTTAAAATGCATGCCAGCTGCAACGCCCGGATTCAGGATGAAAGAAGTAGTATGCCCCCGGCACGGTTCGGGAGGGCATCAGGTGAAGGCCGTCCGTAAGCCGCCTTGGCTTTGGACTCAGAACATACTCCTGCGGCGACGCGGTCTGGGGGACCTCTCGGTGGAACGTCACCCCCAAGTAATCGTCACCATCCAAAACCTGGGTATATCATTGGGAATACTCTAGAAGTGGGCGGATTTAAAAGAGCCCTAATGGATGGTCTTGGGTCAGGTTCCTTGCATTGAGTTCACAGCTTTTTTGCATGATCTGAGATGGTAGCTGGGAAAAATATGGAAGTCTGAAACCGCACAACCATTGACTACTGTCTCCTCCGGACTGTCATTTGCATTCAACGGGATACCGATAATATCCAATTTATTGGTTTCACATTTGTCCCCGGCCTGATCTTTCACAACAATGCAAGCGGTCGACGCGTCAACAGTGTCGGGCAGGGTGATGCGAAAACCTGGACAAGCCAACAGAGCGACCTGGAGTTCCCCCCAAAACAGTGGAAAATATGGGGGTCAAACGTGGGTAGCCAGACAAATGGATGGTACATATGTTGGATCTTGACCGAAGTTTGTGGTTCGCTACATCGCTATGAGGGAAGCAACTGACCTTCTGGTAAACAGACACAAAGAGATGGAAAATCACCCTGTGGCAAAGATGAGGCATGTAACTAAATTGGGATTCTCAATAGCTATGTCCATGTTAAGTGACCTGAGGGGAACACAGCAACCCATTCACATGTTCTGGTTGGCTTCAGCAATGCCCTGCACCGATGAAATCTTCGGCACATGAATGCATGTAAAGATCGAAAAACCTATATATATATATATTAATATATATATATATATTAATATATATATATATATGTATATATCAAAACAAATATATAAATATTGAGTCAGGTATTTTACAGATGTCCCGGGTCCGGCCCACGTGTGGCCTGGCCTTTGGAGAGCCTGACAAGGCAGTGCCATGAACAGTTCACCGAAGGGTTCATTGTGGATCGGTGGACAAATGTGAGCGTGCACAGTGGGCTAACAATGACAACGACACTGACAAGAAGGAGAACCGAAATATGACCCACCATCGCCACTACCAGCAGCACCACAACATGCACCAGAACAACAAAAAAAGCACAACAACAACAACAACAACAACAACAGCAACAACAACAACAACAGCAACAACAACAACAGCAACAACAACAACAACACAACAACAACACAGCAGCAACAGCAGCAAGAACGACAACAACAACAGCAACGACGACAATGACGACGACGACGACGACGACGACAACGACCACGCCCACGAACACAACGACAACGACAACAACGACGACAACAACAACCACGAGCATGACAAGGACAACAACAACGACAAATTGAACCAGAACAACAACTACAACGAGAACAACAACGAATACAACCAGTACAGCGAGCAACAACTAGTACGACGACACCAGCACTACAGCACGAGCATCAGCAGCAGCACTGTGAGCAGCACGGGCAGCAGCACCAGCACAAAAGGAATTCAGAGCACTGTGGCAGGGGAGGCAATGAATGCTCGCCAGAGGCGCAAAGCTTGACATGAAGTGGAGTTGGATATGGGTAAACAGGCGGTGACTTTTTGGACTGCCGCAATGCTTCTGTCGCTGAAGAAACCAATGCAGAGGGGCTGGCAGGAGCGTCTTTGTGATCGCACTCTGCGTGCCCGAGGTGGGAACGGCTTCTTCGAGATCGTCCCGCAACAGCCGACTAGCAGAAGATAGCTGCTGCATGAATTCACACCGCCTAACGCAGCGCCTAAGCCGCTTCGCTCCAGTGGTGCAACTGCTGCGTCGCAGCCGCAGCAAGAGCCTCATCGAAGGCAGCAAACTCCAGCCGCGGCGCCGCAGTGGGCACGTTGTGCTGGAGCTCCCCAGGTGGCGGGGCACGATACTCCTCCAAAGGCACCTCGAAGATGGCAAGGACAGCTTGCACGGAAGCGAGGTGAGGAGCGTCAGGAGGCAGGTGGCGTTTACAAGCAAAGAGCTTGCGGGGGCCACTGCTGTTGGTAGAGAGGCCGCAGGCGGCAAGTTGCAACTTCTCAAGGCAAACGAGGGCCAAAAGGATGAGCAGGATCTTCTCCTCGTGGGGTGATTGGGGCAAGTTGTCGCGCACAAAGCAATGGGATTTCAGCAAGGTGGAATCACACCACACGGAATGCATTCGCAGCACCATTGCAATGAAGGGTTTCAGGTACGGGTTGGATGCAACGGGGTGTTGCTCCAAGAAAGCCGCTAAGGGCATCGCACGCAGCCGGGCGATCCTGCCCACGAACCCTCTCTCCTCTTTTGGCTGTGGGGCTGCAGCTGCAGGTTCGGGGCGAGCGACGAATTTGTTGATGACATCCGTCACTCCTTCGCAATACTTCCCAAGCAGGTCAGCTGCTTTCATCGCAGCTGCAGACACGGTTGTCGGCCAGGCCGTTGGTTCTGTGCGAGCAAAGGCACTCTGCAAATTTGCCCAATTAAGTGCAAGGCGCAGGTGCTTCCCCTTAAGCTTTCCATGGCGTTTCGATGCTTCATGCTGGACCAAGTAATTCTCTTCCTGCAAGGTTGCGTGATGGTCGAAATGGGCGACGAAAAGCTGCTTGGCTTCTTGGTTGTTCTCGGCGGCAAAGGTGTAATTCAGAAAGGGATAGCCGAGGTGATAGACAAAGACAGCCTCGTCACGATGTTCCAATGCATGAGCCTGGTAGACGCGGTAGAAGCGGTCGATCAGCAAAGCTTCCAATCGGTTTGTGCCGCCGGTATTTCCCAGTCTTTCATTGGCGGCCTCAATGTCCCGCGCCCGTTTCATGACGGGGCGGCTGTAAAAGAGGCAAAGACGCCCACGCAGTCCAAGAGGATCGGCTTGGGCATAAAGCGGCCAAATATCCTCCAGGTGAAGTGCGCCGCAAACACCCAAGAAAGGGTAGGGCATGGAGAACGAGCGCTGGAGGTTGATCACATCGCGCTGCCAGGACATGCGTTCCCACAATTGGGTCGCAATTGCCTTGTTCACGCCGAACTCAGTTTGCAGCCACTGCAGGAACTGCGTGCCCTCGACCAGGTACCCGCTAGCAGCAGTCCATCCGACGAAGGACGCGATGCGAAGGCCAATGCCTTCCAATGAGCCCGTGCCCAAACGGAATGTGATGTCCTGGACCTTTTTCAAACGCTCCTTCAGTGTGGCCTGCCCCTGGGGACCAGGCATGGCATTTTGCCGCAGGCGAGAGCGAATGGCCTTCCGATCTTCGTTGGCCTTCTCCTCAAGGCCATGGAGCACATTGTGGTACAAACGAAGAAGGTTTGAGGTGTGGCATGAGCCTGGGTGGAGGAAAAAAGTCCAGGTGAGTGAGTACACCGAGAAGCTCGGCAGGGGCTGGAATCGTGCGTTGGGCGTCAGAAAGCTGACAAGGCAGAGTTCGCACAGCATGACCCAAGGCCATGCGACGCTTTGCGTCGCGCCAAGGTCTTTCCAATGTTGAAGGAGGGCTGCGGGGACAAGCTGCTCTAACTGAGCCGCAGGGAAAGGGACTTGTTGCTCCAGCAGCTGGAAAAACTCGTCCACCTTCTCTCCGGACGGCGGCGCAGGTGGACCCGACGAAGCACGCGCGGAAGAAGGCATGGGGATGAAAGGACGCGGACAGCGCAAGGGCGGGATCGAAGCGACACGAGATGCCTGGAGCCGACAAGCAGGACGAACACTGAATCAAAAGTGTACATGACAACTGCTGCCAGCAATGACAGGGGATTCCCCCGACAGCTTGACGGACAGTAGGAAGTTGAAATTGATTTGCAGCGGCTGCGAACGCAACGCTTTGAGGCGCGCTGTGCGACTTGACTGTGTGACCGAAACTGCAGGCACGCGTGTGGTGTCGCAGCAATGCATGCAGCAGTTTGCCCCTCCCACACTTGGAGGTTGCGAGTGCCACCTGAGGACGCGTGAAACGGCACTGACACGGAAAAAAAAGCAGGACACTCGTATCTTATGGCGTCCTCTGCCTGAATTAAGATGCACGATCGCAACTCAGAAGAAGGAAAATGGGCTCAGTCAACGAGAAGGCCGGCGTGCCGTGCGGCCAAAGCACAGGTGCGGCAGACCTGATGCCTGGCGCCGGCGAAATGCAGGACAAAGCCAACGTCCGGTAAGAAGTCAACATCCTGCGCAATGACCTGTATGGTTTCGGGCAGCGTTTCGAATGCGACAATGTTGCATGGGGGGCGGCGTGCACCTGGATCTGGGCTCCAGTGGTACTTGCCTGCGCCCCAAAGTCCGACCCCACGTGGATTGCGGCGAAACTGCAAAACGACCACCGGGGCTGGGGGCGCTGCAGCACCGTGCCCCGGCTCATTCTCAGAAGCACGACTTCTAGGACGCAAAGGCGCAGCAGCAGCTGGAGTGTTGCGACGACGGCTTGGTCGACGCCGGAGTTGGGCTGCCGAGTCACCGCAGACAATGGAATTGTAGAGGTGCACGAGGATGAGGACAAAGGCCTGGAAGACAGATGGTGTCATAGAAGCAGTGGATCGTACAAAGGGGTCTGCCCAAGAGAAGAATTGTTCTGCGGTCTGGGTGTTCACTGCAGCGAGCTGGGGATGCCTCTCACGTCGAACTTCAGGCAAGAAGAAGTCGTGACCCTCGGTGATGCAGGCTGTGTGGTTGGCCACGTGAAAGCTGTCGATAACGAAGGTGAGTGCAGCGATTGCCGAAGCCGCCGGCGTTCTGCCACAACGCAACGGGTGGCGAGCATAGCGAGCCAATGCGCAAGCGTTGTCATAAATGGCATACTTTAGTGCAACATCACCTCGTTGGAGCAACGTCGAAAGCAAGCCATACACTTGAGTGAGCGATTCTGCATGGGCCAGCGGATGAACCTGGGCGGACACAGCGGAGCAAAATATGGGACAGCAGTGCAGGAATGGAAGGGAACAACATGTTGGAATGCACTGCTAGAATGCTTGGTCTCAAAGCCCTGCAACCATGCTACTGCACAAACACGTCCGCACGGCAAGGTTGCCACCAACAGTCCGCCGTATTTGCGGCGAGGGAGAGTTGCAGCCTTGTCAATGCCGCATGGGTTCACGTCGTCCGGCTGGGGATTCATAATTGGCTCCACAGCGTCAAAGTATGGTGCATCTTCTGGGGGGGGCCGTTGTCGTTGGGGTCCTCAAGTGGTTGGCCTCTGCGACGTTTCCTTCGCGCCCTTTTCTCAGCAAGCAGCCCCTCATACTCCTGAATTGCACGGACAGAGAGCTCAGAAGAAGAGAACCAGCGAGGAGAGCCATCGACCTTGTACCTGCGAGCCCCGTTGTCATCGCGGTGGCGCAGAATGGGCCGGGCGGCAGCAGGTGCCGGAGCGCAAGAGGACGAAGGGTGGTGGTCACAGCAGTAGAGGCCCGACTGCATCGGCGGCTTCTGGCAGCCAAACATCACGGAACATTCCACCCGCGGAAACTCAACCACCCCCCCTCTCGTGGTTGCACAAAGCGCAGGTCAGCCCGTACTTGGCATCCAGGGTGACCCAGGAACCGCGCAAAGCTCACACTTGTGCTCCACGTAGTGCTGTGCATGGACCGCTTCGCGAAGGTAAGGGAGAATTTGCACCAGGCGGCCTGAAACTCGTAGACTCCTGGCATGGGGCATGGAACAGCCGCATCAAACAGCCAAACACAGCACTGCATGAAGAGGGCTATCGCAGCCAAGAAGCATGCTTAGTATCAAGCGGCCACCCGTTGTCCGCACGACACTGGGTGAGCGCGCCCAGAGCACGGTCAAAACCTCCAGCAGCAGCCAATGGTGCTCAAACCTGTAGCAATCATTCTCTCGATCAGCAGGAGTGCCATGCAGGTCTGCGAGCATCTGGACGAAGCCGCTGAAGGCAGCTTTGCTGCGCAGCACTGCCGCCCGAAGCAACCAAAGGACTCGCGTTTCAATGAACGCCTTGCTGTTTTTCCGGGGGCAGCCGACGATTTGGAAGAAAGCGGCATCCTCTGGAGCCGCAACAGCGCAGCAGCGTGATCTTGCATGAGGCTGCGATTTCCAAACATTGGAAAAGATGAGGTTGCAGGTGGGACACTGGTGATGGCGCCACTTCACAGAGGTCCACCCCCGATCCAGGAGGAAAGCCTTTGCTTCTCCGTGCTTCCCTGGAACCAGTGCGACCTCGCAATTGTCGCATCTGCTCACCGCAGCCTCAATGAAAGGAAGTTCGCCAACAAGAGTATTCGATGCAGGCCGGGCTCCGCCGAGAAAGTCTGGGCAGTCACGTTCCAATTTGGTATACACCGTGGCAATGTCATTGAGGGCCACCTCCAGCCCAAACGATGCCCGCAGCAAGGATTGAGCTTCCTCGCATCGCACGGGCGGAGGTGACAGCAGGTAGCACCGTGTCAGCAGACCGAGGTGCGCCGGACGGAGGGGCGAGAGCAGCGCATCCAGGCTCGGCGTCAGACGCCATGGCACAGCACAACTGGGCCGACAACGAATGGAAGCGACAGAAGCGCTCCAAAAGTTGAAAGAACGAGAAAAAGACACATGGCGTGAAGAAGGAGCAACGTCTTGTGGTCGAAGCTTGCCGTGGAGCTCAATGAACATATACAGTGCCTAAGGCCATGCCGTGCAAGATGACACAAGACCCTGGGCGCAACGGCATGGAGAAGTACGGCAAGTGCAACAGCAGTCGGAAACTGTGCAAACGCGTGCGTAAAGTGTCGCTTTGTGTCTGACCCAGACAGGAGCAGTGCAATCGCAGCGCTGCTGCACATGATCGGGCACATGCATGCGTGCAAACACGCAAGCACGAGGTCGACTTTGTCTGACCGAAGGAAAGCAAATAGCAGCCACCTGGCGTTTGCAGGTGAAAGACCGGCTGATGTCGGAGATTTCCTCTATGGACCCGCTGTAATGACGCCGGTTAACTCTGCTTGCTGAAGGTCCAACCAAGCTGTTGCAACAGCAAGTGCCTGCCTCACTTCTTGGACACCATCAGGGTGAGGGGGGAGCTGCAACTCAAACGACTCAACGAACGCAGTTGGAAGCAACTGCAGATTTGCTTGCAAGAGCAGCGGCGGCGGTTCATCATCCATGCACATCCAGGCATTGCAGGTGGCGCGCAAGGAGGCTTCAGGCCACTGCAGCAAAGTTGTCTCTTGCAGTGGCGTCAAAGTCCGCGTTGTTGGCTTCTCGGATGCTGCTGCAGACTCTTTCGTGAGATCAATCACAGACGTCGAGGCAGCAGAGCGCAAAGCTGTGCGAATGTCGCGCGAGCCCTGGGAAGCATTAGCAAGCATCGCGCGCCGGGTGGGCATCACTGCAACACAGGCTGAGATAGACGTGGTTTGCTAGGATCCAAGCACTGCAGAAGCAGGATATCTCCAGAGACAAATGGAAGGAAAAGAAGATTCACACGCAGGAGGTCAAAGAGGTCAGTGCAGGATACCTACAGCGCGTGGTGAGCCGCACGGACGACGAAGAACCTATAGAGTGCAAAACTTCGCTGCTAGACACATCTTTTTGTCAGGGGTCCTGCAGGCTCCCGCAGAGCGATATCCAAGATCATCAGCACTGACGGTGCGGTCGACATGGTGTCTGACCAAGGCAAAAACAGCAAACGGAATGGCCATTGGAGCATCGAATGCACACAACCGAGGTCCACCTTTTTGGCACAGCTACTTGTCACTGCGGCGCAGCAGTCCTCGTCCGATCGCCCTTGTGACTGATTGGACCAAGACTGGGCCAAGCAGGCGCACTTTGACGCAGAAAGATGACCGCACATGTCCATTGTGTCTGACCACCGGACTCGCAGAGCCCCATGCGTGACTGTATGGTGCAACTGTGAAATTGTCATGCCCCTCGCAACATAACCACACTGTGGAACCGCAGCGTCTATAGAACAGCAAGCTCGAGCTTCGCCTTTCAGAAAACTGAAACACGAATCAGGGCAGCAAGAAGCCGGCCACGGCAGCTCCAGGGCCACAAAGCAGCCGGAGACACCGAGGACACTGCCTTGATGACAAATGCCGGTGGCCGATCCACCTCCGGGGCACGGTGGTAAAAGTGTAGGGTGTGGGTGCCCAGACGCAGGAGCTGGAGAATGCGACGCACTGGGAACCACCACGACCCACGATTGAGTCGCAGCCACGCGACGTGAGGGTTGGCAGGGAGGCCAGCCAGAAGCAAGTCGCAGTGCAGATTGTGGCTGTCCTCGGGAGGTGGTGGCGGGAATCCCAGAGTCACAAAGAGCGCGGCAAAAGCGCTTCGCCTGCTGCGAGGGCCCGACAGCTGCAAGCAGGCTGGGGCTGCATCAGCGAAGCAAGGATATGCTAAAGAAACACCGGGCGCACAGACAGGCCTGAAGCACAAGCGAACGATTGCGAACACTGCGCGACAAAGCCGCAGGTAGGCAGCAGGGAGGCACGGAGTGGCGCGAGCGGCCTTCACCAATGCCCGGAGTTGCCAAGGAATGGTAAACGCCCGTGCCGCGGCCACATACGCCGCACGCACACATTCCACGTCCTGCAGGGCCACACTAAGAGCCGGGGCCGTCAGGACCAAAGCAGGGGCTCCGGCGACGCCCAGCAAGGAAAGGAGAAGGGAGATGCAATCACGCGGAAGGCCCAGCATGGCGCGATGTGAAGGCGAGAGGGAGTGCGGACACGAGGTTCTGCGCTTGATGCACTGGAAACAGGCGGCGGTAGCAGCAGTGCATGGACAGGTGTGAGTGCAGCTGATGCTAAGATTGGTAACATGTGTCAACTTGCAAAGCATGTAGACAACATCAACAATGAATGCTATGTACCTACGCTCTGTACACGACACGTTGCCGGACTACAGGAACCACACTGCAGTACCAAAGGATACCAGGGAAGGTCTGGCTATACCATGAAGGCGGCGTAAGGCACTGGCACAGCACGGTGCTGCGCCCACTTTTCCGTGCTGATGCGCAGCGCATCTACGAGGCTCAACATGGTGAAGAGCTTCGAGAGCAACCCTTCGAACCGGGTGGCAGCAGTCGCTGTGGTTTGCACCTAGAGTTGGTACACATAGATCGCAGCATAGGCAGTGCGACAATAGACCGGTGGGTCGTAGAAGCACTGCAAGCGCAGCCACGCCTGCCAGTGCCGCAGCACTGCAGCACTGCACTCCTCGTGCATCAGTGCGTGAACGAAGGCACGCACCTGGCACCGAATTTTGCGAGGACGAAAAGTCAAATGTAAGATGATGTCCTGCAGGCTCGACGGCAAGGTCGCAATCTGGCCGTCAGCTTGGAGGCGTTGTTGGAGACAGGCCATGGACCCAAGACTGATACCGCGCCGGAAAAGCCCGCGCAGGAAAACGTCAAGGAAGAGGTAGAACGGGAAAGTGTTCTGGCGAACCATGGAATGTCCCTCGTCGGTACTGGAATCTTCGAGATCGCACCAACGCGGATTGTGAGCTGCCATGGCGTAAAGCGCACTGATTGCAAACACAGCGTCGGGCGCCTGTCGAGACGGAAAACGGCTGCAGACATGTGACGGTGGAGATGGGCAGCGTGTGGCGTGGCGAGCAGGTCCGAGAGCGAGCAGCCTCAGAGGTAACAAAAACCCCGGAGCCGCGACTGGCTTAGACTGACCATTCCTGCAGGATGGATGATTTCACGGGTGTTCCGACAAGTGACACTGCAAGGCTCTTGTGGCAACGACGGCAAACGACGAGCCGAAAGAATCGAAGGCGAAGAATCAGTGAAGTTCTGCTGCGGCGCGCCTCACAGCTCCTCGTGGTTGTCCAATCAGCGGCAGATACCTGACGATAGAAAGCGGTGAAACGCAAGGGCTGAGAAAGGAAGGATGCAAATGGCACACAGCATCAGTTGAGAAGCGTGACTCGTATCAGCGTGTACCTGCAAGTTGCTCTGCCGCGTGTGATTTTGAGGTCGCAACGGAACAACCGATCAATCGCGTCGACGTTGTGTCCGACGGAGACAGATCCCGGAGGCACTGTGCACAGCAACTGTGGCCCACGGGAGATTTATTCCGGGAGCGGCGGTGGAATGGCTCTTCCATTAGCCGTTTCCGGCTCCCAGAACGCAAGCACAAAGTCATTCACTGGGTGCTCGGCATACAACAGAAAGATTGACCCCCAGGTGGCCCATTCTTGCGGCGGCAAAATCTCCTGCTGGACAGTCACTCCCAAGGCTTCCCGGCGCACGTGGTCGAACCAGACATAGCCAGTAGGCACGGACTGCAACTGCAAAATGCTTTCGTCGTAGGCGGCCGGAAGTCCGAGATCGTGGTTGTAGCACCCAATCCAGGCCTGCAAATTCGGACCAACCATAGCATCGTCCTCCTTGCAACGCGGCAAAGACGCATCACAACATGTCAATATAATAATGAAGTTGTCACAGCTGCCGCCCTTGGTACGCGAGCAGCTGGAAAAGTGACCTCAGAGTCCTTAGAATCCCAGGTCCTTGGAACAACAGGTTACATTCCTATGCAGCTTCGTGTGAATCCGTATAACGACATTCAACAACCGTAGCAGCAACTTTAGCAAGATACTTTAAGACACTAGTGTCACCATTAAGAGTCGGCCAACCAAACCTAGCCGTGAGGGGGTTTTGAGGCTTAACAGGCCTGTTCTCAAATTGAGGACAAAACCAAGCCATGTGCTCCCAGGTAGCAACAGAGCAAGAGCAAAAAGGGCAACCCAGCTCATTATCTTGTTTCATCTTGGCCAAGGCAGCAGGGGAAACAGTCGCCCCCAAGGCAACATGTCTCTGCCAAGCATTGTCTTTAATGCCAACACGCAAAGCATGGAAATCAATTTCATCAAAAAAGGAAACCATCTGTTCAACGGAATAATCAGACAAGAACTGTCTAGGCTCTCGTCGTTTTTGGCACAACCAGGCACGGAACTGCGTCTCACGCCAGGAATTTCTAATGAAGTGAAGGGACTCACCCAAACAGTCAACAGGGGTATCCAAAGAAATGATACCATGTTTAGATTGCCAACCATGAGGGGATCTTTCCGTCCACCCAAGTTTCTGAAGAGACTTGCGAAGCCAAGCAATGGAAGAACCAAAACAACCATTCCAAGTGATCAAGCCAGCGTGGAAAAGCTTAACCGTACGAACCCAGAGGCGTTGTAAGATAACAGCAAGAAGGTAAAACTTAGCCCCATAGACGACCTTACGGAGGACAGGGGATGCCATACGGGCAGTATTATGAGTGGCCTGGTTAAACAAGGAAAAGAACTTGTCAGCCGTGGCCTGCGTGGGAGGTTGGGCAAGCCAACCATAGTTGAGCACAGAGAGGACGAACAGTTTGTATGCTTCTAAGGCTCGCTCCCAAGGGAGACCCACACTTCTGAAGAGAACAGCCCTCAAATGAGCTTTGTCAATTCTGTCCTTCTCAACCTGATGGTAAGCACGTTTGCGACTTACAGTTACAGCACCTAGCATGCGCATGTCAGTTTCAATCCAACTTTGAGGCCCCTTGGCCAGTAAATCGAGGTGTTTTTTCCCTTTGGCAATCACTTTGGTCTTTTCAGGACCTTCCTTAAGGCCAACGCTTAAGCTCCAAGCTTCCCACCTGGAAATCTGGGACATCACAGCGTCCCAACAACAGGTATGCAAGGTTCTGTCGTCCATGTACACTTTCAAAGTGCACCGGTCATCATGAGTGGCCCTAGCACCTGCACTTGTCCACACTGCCAACAGGAGAGGCGCAAGGGGACATCCCTGCGGTGTGGCAGGGGCGTGAACTGGAAAAGACAACGTTTCATTTTCCCAGCTGATCCAACGGTGTTGTTGGCCCCAGGCTTCATAGAGAAGATCGCAAATCTCAACAGGCCAGTTCAAACGCTTAAGCAGCAAAGTACTAACCTCAGGGCGCATTCGGTCATACGCTTGTTTGAAGTCCATAGTTGCTAAAAAACCATGGTGTTTGGCCAAACGGTCCTGGAGCGTGTGCGCAATGAGTTCTGCCCCAAACGCACCCCGCCCATAGCAGACGCTTTCATGCAAATTGAGCTTATGCCATGTTTGAACAGAATTAGATTGAAGAAGGGCAGAAGCAAAACATCTCCAAAAAATGCTCATGACCGTAATGGGTCTCGTGTGTTCGGGCTTTACGCGCCCAAGGTGAGATTTACCCGGCTTGGGCAAACTGATCTGCTTTGCCTCTTTTAACTGCGAAGGCAGTTTCTTGACAGAGAACCATTGACGCACAATAATGCTATGCCAAGCTTCGATAGCTTTCAGCGGCAGGAACTGGAGTTCATGACCTGACCACTGATCAGGGCCAGAAGAGCCCTTGGATTTGCGTACCGCCTGCCAAAGGTCAGCAACAGTAATGGTTTCCCACACAACGTTTTCGGTAGGTCCAAAATCCTGAGCCAAAGTGGCGGCCGCCATCTCAGCGGGGACATTTTGATCAGCCCAAACCGATTTCCAATAATCAGCAATAGCCTGTGCAGCCTCTCGGGGAGTGGTGGTAGAACCAACACTGACATTTTCAAAAATAGACACTTTGTTTTGAAGCCACCTGCTAAGAGGCCTGAAAGAACCCGCAGTCATCTGTGATTTCCAATAGCGAATGTTGTCATTTTTTTGCTTAGACTCTTCTCTGGTTTGTTTCATCTGCAAATTTTGAATGCTCTCTTGTGCTCGAAACAGGGCATCATGAGGCGATATGTTTGCAGCTTCTTCAGGCCAGAGCCGTCTAAGAAGAGCGGGATCAGCGTGCCCGTGACGTTGAACCTGACGTACCACCTCATGAAATCTGGCCAAGTTCCTACGCAGCTTGCGCAGGGATTCACCTGCGGCCGGGTTACCTGCCAAACGAGTTGCCGAAGTGACAAACTGATGCTTGGCAACAGCACCTTTTTGATTCTGACCTGATTGTCTCAACATGGTCCGGGTTTTTCTTTCCATCTCACCGTCAGCCTGAGCATGAATGCCAACAATGGCAGTGCGATAGACCTTATTGAGAGCAAGCATGTATGTATCCCAAGTTTGTTGCAGGGTGCAAATATCAGGAGAGTTGACATTAATTAAATGTCAATATGTAACGACTTTTTTCGGGGGCCATTTTCACCCAAAGTTTGGAGGCGGGAACATGCAAGGATCTAACGGCTCAAGTCAAAGCGCAAGCAACAAAACAGCGATCAACCCGAGCTGACATCCAGGCCTGCAACATGTGGCGCTCAAACTCACCAGGCCGTTCTTCAAGCAGATTGTACCTGATTGCCGCAAAGGCTCGCACCTTCTCAGCTGTTGTAGCCTGTTCTGGGGCAGATGGGACCAGAATGAGCCGAGGCACGCGTCGATGTTCGAAGACAGGCACGTTCATGCCAGTGAGTAGAACATCTTCGAAGGCGATGGGCAACTCCTGCAGCGCAGTCCGTGCCTGCGACGTGAAAGTTGCAAGGAGAGGGTCGTCAAAGCGCGCAGTGGTAGCCAAGCGAAAGACCGAGCCCGCGTGCAACCATGGAAGAAGGCTCTCCACAATGATAGACGATGGCAAAGGGAGCAGCGGCATGAGGCCAGGAGTAGCGAGCTGCAGTACCGTTCGAGCGCGAGTACAAGGCTGGCAGAATCCACAGACATCGCTAGGCATCGGGCATATTACCGTATAACCCTTAACACTGGCACTGTGGAATTGAAAGCAGTTTCTGATGCAGCTGAGCCCTCGACACCTCGCAAGCACTTGATCATCATATAGCGCTGGAGACCTGACAGTCGCAGGGGGCTGGCGGGATCGTCGGGGAAGGGCAAACAGGAATGAAGCACACCAAACACGAACAACCATTAGGAGGCGAAGCTTTCTGTGCATGGAGAACCAATCATCATGCAGCTGCATGATGATCCTCATGCCGTAGGCAGAGAGCTCAAAGTGCTGACTGAGTTCGAGGCCCCCGCACCTCGCAGCCCATTGATCACCACACAGCGCTGGAAACCTGACAGTGGCAGGAGTCACAGGCAGGATCGCCGAGGAAGGCATCGACAGCAGAAATCGCAATAGCAGGACTCCGGCAGGCGAACCATCGGGGCACCGAGGATTGCCGAGCCAGCCAGGGCGACCCGACCGACATCGACGCACCAGGGAACCCAACCAAGAGGCCAGCTGCAAGTGGAGAAGCACCAGCCACACAGCAGCAACAGTCGCAGCACCAACAACAGCACGAACAAGGGCAACCAGAACAACAAGAAGAAGAAGAAGAAGAACAACAACAACAACAATAACAGCAGCAACAACAACAAAAAAACAACGACAAAAACAACAGGAAGAGAAAAAAAAACAAGAACAACCACGACAACGACGCTAGATAATGACTCGGCATGGTGAGTATTGTGCTGGGTGGAGCAACAACCAACAACATATCATTGCAGTAGCAGGACTCCTGCAGGCGAACCATCGGGGCACCGAGGATTGCCGAGCCAGCCAGAGCGACCCGACCGACAGCGACGCACCAGGGAACCCAGCCAGAAAGCCAGCAACAGCAAACAGCAGCAACAACAATAACACTGTAGGTGGGCCGTATCATCCACCGTTGTGGCATTGTCATGGCCGCGGACGGCGGCGAGCATCGACAGCAGGAATCGCAAGAGCAGGACTCCTGCAGGCGAACCATTGGGGCACCGAGGATTGCCGAGCCAGCCAGGGCGACCCGACCGACAGCGACGCACCAGGGAACCCAGGAAGCCAGCAACAGCACAGCACCCATAGCCGCGGTACCAGCAACGGCAGCAACAACAGCAACAGCCAGACACAACAACAGCAGCAACAACAATAACACTGTAGGTGGCGGTGGGCAGTATCATCCACCGTTGCGGCGTTGTCATGGCCGCGGACGACCGTTCGAGCGCGAGTACAAGGCTGGCAGAATCCACAGACATCGCTAGGCACCGGGGATATTACCGTATGACCCTTAACACTGGCACTGTGGAATTGAAAGCAGTTTCTGATGCAGCTGAGCCCTCGACACCTCGCAAGCACTTGATCATCATATAGCGCTGGAGACCTGACAGTCGCAGGGGGCTGGCGGGATCGTCGGGGAAGGGCAAACAGGAATGAAGCACACCAAACACGAACAAACATTAGGAGGCGAAGTTTTCTGTGCATGGAGAACCAATCATCATGCAGCTGCATGATGATCCTCATGCCGTAGGCAGAGAGCTCAAAGTGCTGACTGAGTCGAGGCCCCCGCACCTCGCAGCCCATTGATCACCACACAGCGCTGGAAACCTGACAGTGGCAGGAGTCACAGGCAGGATCGCCGAGGAAGGCATCGACAGCAGAAATCGCAATAGCAGGACTCCGGCAGGCGAACCATCGGGGCACCGAGGATTGCCGAGCCAGCCAGGGCGACCCGACCGACAGCGACGCACCAGGGAACCCAACCAGGAGGCCAGCTGCAAGTGGAGAAGCACCAGCCACACAGCAGCAACAGTCGCAGCACCAACAACAGCACGAACAAGGGCAACCAGAACAAGAAGAAGAAGAAGAACAACAACAACAACAACAATAACAGCAGCAACAACAACAAAAAAAACAACGACAAAAACAACAGGAAGAGAAAAAAAACAAGAACAACCACGACAACGACGCTAGATAATGACTCGGCATGGTGAGTATTGTGCTGGGTGGAGCAACAACCAACAACATATCATTGCAGTAGCAGGACTCCTGCAGGCGAACCATCGGGGCACCGAGGATTGCCGAGCCAGCCAGAGCGACCCGACCGACAGCGACGCACCAGGGAACCCAGCCAGGAAGCCAGCAACAGCAAACAGCAGCAACAACGCGTATCATCCACCGTTGTGGCATTGTCATGGCCGCGGACGGCGGCGAGCATCGACAGCAGGAATCGCAAGAGCAGGACTCCTGCAGGCGAACCATTGGGGCACCGAGGATTGCCGAGCCAGCCAGGGCGACCCGACCGACAGCGACGCACCAGGGAACCCAGGAAGCCAGCAACAGCACAGCACCCATAGCCGCGGCACCAGCAACGGCAGCAACAACAGCAACAGCCAGACACAACAACAGCAGCAACAACAATAACACTGTAGGTGGCGGTGGGCAGTATCATGCACCGTTGCGGCGTTGTCATGGCCGCGGACGGCGGCGAGCATCGACAGCAGAAATCGCAAGAGCAGGACTCCTGCAGGCGAACCATCGGGGCACCGAGGAGTGCCGAGCCAGCCAGGGCGACCCGACCGACAGCGACGCACCAGGGAACCCAACCAGGAGGCCAGCTGCAAGTGGAGAAGCACCAGCCACACAGCAGCAACAGTCGCAGCACCAACAACAGCACGAACAAGGGCAACCAGAACAACAAGAAGAACAACAACAAAAAAAACAACGACAAAAACAACAGGAAGAAAAAAACAAGAACAACAACAACACCAACAACAACAACAACAACAACAGCAACAACAACAACAACAACAAGAACAAGAACAACAACAACAACAACAAGAAGAAAAACAACAGGAATAAAAAACAAAAACAACCACGACAACGACGCTAGATAATGACCATTTGGAGCAGCAAAGACAAGAACAGCAACAGAAACAGCATCTTGCAAGCAGAAAACATGGCACCAACAGCAGAAACAGCAGAAACATAACACAGTAGGTGGGCCTTATCATCCACCATTGTGGCGTTGTCATGGCCGGAGACGGCGGCAGAGCATCTGAAGCAAAAACAAGAACAGCAACAGAAACAGCAGCTTGCAAGCAGAAAGCATGGCACCAACAGCAGAAACAGCAGCAGCACTGCCACAACAACAGCAGCAAACATGACACAGTAGGTGGGCTGTGTCACACCAGCAGCAGCAACGTCCTGAATCAATCAAGATACACACACACACATATATATATAGATAGCTAGATAGATGTATATATACAAATATATATATATCAATGTATATATATATTTATTTATTTATATTTAAATGTATATATATAGATCTATATATATATATAAATGTATATATATATATGTATTTAAATATACATATGTCTATATATATTTAGAAATATGTATATATATATGTATATGTATATATGTAAAGATATATATATACACATATGTATATAGACATTTATATAGATGCATCTAAATATATATGTGTATATTTGTAGATATGTAAATATTTGTGTATCTATATATTTCAATGTGTATATATATGCAGATGTATATATAAATATGTATCTATATATGTATACATATATATACATATACATATATATACCGCCACGACCCGACTCGCCCGGCGAACGGTGACCTCTCTGCACCGTGACTTTCGCTGGATGTCTTTGGATCTCCTTCAGAAGTCATCTGGCTGTTTTTACCCAACTTGCAACCCCCAAAGAACATCATGGAACGTCTGGTTTCGTCTGAAACTCAGTCATCAACATGCGTTTCAACATCTGCGAACAGAGGCGCACACTGTTTCGGAGCAAAACAAACAGCTATGACCCCGGGAGCCGAGATCAGCGTTGAAGTTCCCGATTTCCAGACCAGGGTTCCTCAGATATGTCCTACACATGGGGGTTTGTATAAATGGGGGTAACCCGAAATCACTCACTTTAAAGAGACGTCCCTTATAAACCATCCATTTTGGGGAACCCCTTGGATGGAAACTTCCACATGATCTCTTTGGGGGTAGCGGAGGCACGACCGCGACTCCCAACGGGCACGGAGCCAGTCCTGATGGTGGCAACGGCGAGGGCATGGACTCCGATGTCCTGATTCAAGCAAGATACACACTCACATATATATATATAGCTAGATAGATGTATATACATATATATATATATTTAAATGTATTTATATATATATATATGTATATATATATATATTTAAATGTATATATATATGTATTTAAATATACATATGTCTATATATATATGTATGTATGTAGTTATAAATATATATATATATGTATATATGTAAAGATATATATATATATATACACATATATATATGTATATATATATATAGACATTTATATATATATATGCATCTAAATATATATGTGTATATTTGTAGATATGTAAATATTTGTGTATCTATATATTTCAATGTGTATATATATATATGTACATGTATATATAAATATGTATCTATATATGTATACATATATATATATACATATACATATATATATGTATACATATATATATATACATATACATATATAAAAATATATACATAAGTATAGATATAGATATGTATATATATACATAAATATCTATATATATATACATACGTAACTATATATATATTATTTTTCAGATATATATGTACTATTATATTTATAGATATAGATATATATATATAGATATATAGAGATAGATGTAAATATTTATATTAATATATACATATATATATAGAAGGTACTAAAACTGTTGCACGATAGGTACCAAACCCCCATTGTCTTCACCCTGTCTCTAAATGCAGCCATGCCACACACTGGCGCGCATAGCCAGGACATTCGACCTCAAGGAGCACAAACAGAGAGAGACGGGCACGGTAACGCAGCGAGCAAGATACGAGAAGAAGGGTGAAGGCATGAAAAGGGAGGAAGTGAAGAAGGAGTGGACGGATGGAGCGTGAGGAAGTGAAGAAGGAGCGGACGGAAAAAGGAAACGGAGAAAAAGAAGTAGGAAGGGCGAAAGAGTAGGAGTTGGGGGGCTCTAGGTGCAGATAA